AAGCTAATAGTAATAATTACCATGACAACATTTCAAACGCATCAAAGTACCAAATGCAATACCAGTTTCTACCAATGTGCGGATACACAATAACACATTTTTACCATCACCAGCAGTCAATTTATCAACACAAAGTAAATGGCGGCTCTTTTCCATTAATTCACATCATACAAAAGTAAATTGAAGATGACAACTAACCCACAATTCGAAAACACTATGAATCAACTGTGACTAAACAAATCAATATCCACGGAACCTGAAGCACGCTATTGCAGTAGCAAGTGTTGCCGAAATTCTCCAGCCCAAAATACCGCTCGCCTTCAGGAAATTGGTCTCCCAGCGCTTTCTCCAGCTTCGAACCCGCTGCTCCCATTCTTGCTTCACTTCATCCAGTCTCTCTCCTCTTTCTATATATCTGTATATATGTGCGTAGCGACTATAACTATCTGCGTATCGCTGTGATTCTGCACAACCAAACTGGCTCCTCGCGCGTGATTGGGATCGTGCTTGAAGATCCTAGGGTTTGATCAAAGGGAATGAAACTACAAATCCTTGAATTAACACAAGGAGTTGAAAATCGGAGAGACATAGCAAGTTATTAGAGGTTGAAAATGAAGAAAAGTGGAGTAATCTGTATTTGCCATCGCAATCTCAGGTCAGGGGCCGGAATTCAATGGGCATGAAATTTGTGGGGAAGAAATTTATATGGCAACATTTTATATTTAATATTTTCACTTAATCAATTTCGATATTCTTTTTATCTGTTGATTATTTTTTTATCAACATATAATTAAAATATTATATTTAACCGTCAAGATTACAATTTATAGTTAATAAAAAACTTTTATTAAATATTATATTTAACTTTATAATAAAAAATAAATTATTATAATTTTAATTAAAAGGGTAATATTTTTATCAATCAAATAAATATACCTTATAATAATTATATGTTATAAGTTAGCAAAATTATTATAATATAAGACATGTATATCGTGCAAGTTACAATAATCATTTTAAATATGAATAATTATACAATTTTTTTATTAATTGAAATATAAAAACACAAACAATTTCTTTTATTATTTTTCTAATATAAATATAAACTTATTAATTATCACTCGTGTGATACATGAATATTGTACTGCTATTAAATAATTAAGCATTCGAATGTTTCAAATTATTAAGATACTTAATATAAACTATTTTTATTTATGAAATTTATTTTTCAAAATTTGTATGTAATAAAATAGTATTAATAAATTATATATCAACCAGATTTCATGATTGTGATAAGCTTCTCAAATCTCGCATCTAGAAATGAGCAACGGTTCGACTAAGTTTGTTTATTATCGCACCAAAATCAAACAAAAAAAAAAGAAAAAAAATTAAAATAATCGCACTGAAATGCAAGGTTCGACGTTTTGTCAATTATTCTAAGTATTGATAATTAATTTAGTGCAATTTGGTGCAAAACAATACCGAATCGAACAAAATCGAAAATCAAATTTTTGAAGGACAATATTTGAACCACACCGGATTATAGGATACAGTCAAACCAACTTTTCTTACATTAAAAAAACTTAACCGAGCGGCATAGAATAGCACAGTTCGGCTCGGTTTTTCGAATTTTCCGTTTAATTGCTCACCCCACAGCTGCTTGCACGGTTGAACCGAAGAAAACATACATATTGAAGTTGGAAAAGCCTTATCTGTAGAAAATCTTGAGATAGAACAAAGTAGAACCTGAACAACAAAACCTGAGGATGACGAGCCTCTCAATCTCGAGCTTCAGTCTACCTTCCAAATTGAACCTCACTAGGTCATCAACCTCATCGCCATTCAATGGCGTTCGAATTTCGCATTTGTGCCCCACGCGCCGGCCCGGCGTGTCGTCCAGCCGTGCCTCGTCCGTGGCGATGATGGCTAAAAGAGATGAGGAGCTGAAGGAGATTAGGGGTAAGTCGACGGAGGAGCTGAACGAAGAGATTGTGGACCTCAAAGGCGAGCTTTTCATGCTCCGCCTCCAGCGCTCGGCCAGGAATGAGTTCAAGTCTAGCGAGTTTCGCCGTATGAGCAAAAGGGTATTGTTACTTCTCTCTCTCGCTTCTTCTGTTTCCGCCATTTCCCTTCTTTGTCATGGGGAATTCGAATGTGGGTTTATTTTGTTCCAAGACTTTTTTTTTTGGAATTCTGATAGAGTTTGAGAGTGCACGAGAGGTGTATGATGAATTGACTCCTCTGAATATGCTGATTTAATTGTTAAAACCCGGGAAGTAATTTCGAAAAATGGTGTTTGAATTATGATAGAGAGTTTGAGGGTGCACGGGAGGTGAATGATGAATTGACTCCTCTGAATATGTTGATAGTTCTCCTAGGTTCACTATTTAATTGTTCAAAAAACCCAGGAAGTAATGTGATGCGTTTAAAGATCTGAAAGCGAATGGGATTTGCAATTTTGTGGTGAAGTGTTTTTTTATTCTAACTAGCATTCATTTTATTCCCGAACTGGTTTTCAAATTTCGATTGAGAGTTTGAGAGTGCACGAGAGGTGAATGATGATGACTGGACTCCCCTGAATATGCTGATAATTCTCCTGGGTTCTTGATCTAATTGTTAAAACCGGGGAAGTATGTGACACCTATAAAGAGCAGAAAGCGAATGGGAAATGTTGTTCTGTGGTGGAGTTAAAATTTTCTGGTTTAAACTAATATGAAGCTGAGGTTTGGCAGTGAGGCCTGTGTTCTGTTTTGGCAATGGTGGTTGATGCTTTATGAATGCATTATGGAATATTTCTTTTTTAGAAATTAACAAGCCAATTGTGATTATTCTATTGTCTGATGTCCTCAGTATTCTTTCTGGCAACCGTTAGTACGCATGTTGATACTGTGGAAACGTACTCCTAGATATGATATGGTTATATCAGAAAACTTGAAAGTTGCATAAATGTGTAACATTACGTAATTTTGTATAACAAACAACAACAACAACAACAACAACAACAACATACCCAGTATATTCCCAACAGGTTGGGGGTCTGGGGGGTCAGTTGTACGCAGACCTTACCCTTGTAATTATACAAGGGGGCTGTTTCCGTAGCGACCCAAGGTGCATTGCGCCGTTTGATATATTTTTTTTTTTCTAGAAACTTCACTTCACTAATAGAGTAATTTTGTATAACAAAAAAAAAAATAGTTTTTGGTCGGCTTATCAAAGGAGGATGATAACCACCCGGCAAAGGTTTTACGGGTTTCATAGTTTAGTTTTGGGATTCTTGGCTTATCTACAAATCAGTCAATGGGAGAGAGATACTCGGTACAGTTGAATTCGCTTAATTGTTAGAACCTTATTTGTTTGATCTTCAATCACCTCACAAGAATCTTATTTCTTCATTACCGTTCAATCATTCTCTTCATTTTATCTACAATGTCTATGTCCTAAATCCTAATATCGCTATATTTATATATTTTCAATGGTTTTGCTGCTATGGAAAAAAAAAAAAAAAAAAAAAAAAAAAAAAAAAAAAAAAAAGATTGCTCGTATGATGACTGTGAAGAGAGAAAGGGAGCTAGAGGAGGGCATCAACAAGAGGCTGTCAAGAAAGCTCGACTTGAAATGGAAGAAAAGTATTGTTCCAAGGCCGCCACCATCTCTCAAGAAATTACAAGAAGAGGAGGCGGCTGCCGAGGCTAAAGAGGCGGCTTGAGCTTTTTCCGGTTAGAAGCTCTTGTTTAGTTTTTACTTTTTCATCTTCTACTTCTTCTCCTCTTTTATATATTCTGTTCAGTTAGAAGTTTGATGTTCACAATTTGTACGCACCTGACTGTTTTTTTGTTGAATAAAACTATTTTGAACACAATTTTTTGGCTTAATGGATGACATTAAATGATGTGCTGAGTGTAAGAATTGTTGATCTTAAAATGTTGTTAATTAATATTTTAGAACAATTATATGATTTCTGGTTTTCTGTAATGACAGCATGAAGTACAGAAAGATATAAATTCAGCTAGTTCTTATAAGCAAACCATACTTATTGTTCTGCTCCAAATGTGTGTTTGCAACAATTAGATTATTTATTGTGTTGTGAAAATACTAAAAATATAAGAATATCACGTATATCATAATCTTGGTGCAAAATTTGAATTATGATTATTGCAGATGATTTAAAAAAAAATTACATTATATTATTGAAAAACTGCACCAAATTAGTGATTTTTATTTTATTTTATTTTATTTTTTTCAAGATGGCCTAATCTTTCACTTTCACCCCTCCATTCCAATGCAAGAGCATATTAGTACAAATACTAATCATGCAAATCATCAAAAAACATACTCACTCCACAGTTCACTTACACAAGGTTCCAAATCCAAAGTCAGAAAACCCAAATTCATCATCATCATGAAATTTCACAAGTACCATAAAAAAATTACCATTTTTTTTTTTGGGAAGAAGAAGAAAAAGAAAAGCACGCTCGAATCAAAGCCCAGCTGCCCTTAACTCGGCTGCCCGGACAAAGCTGACCTTCATCATCAGCCGGCAACCATTTTCGCCGGAGACAAACTCGCAAATGACCTTATCGTCCTCCTTTGCCAAGTTCATCCGCCACAGGCATTTCCACCCACCCGATATCACCACTCGACCGTCCCCCCATTTTCGGACCTTTCCGCGGAATTCTCGGTTGTTCGAATCCACGAGTGTGATTTCGTTCGAGAAGTCGAGCTCGTAGTCCTTCACCACCTCCATCGGAATAAACTGCGCATAATTCGATAAAATAAACAAAATAAGGATTAAACTATTTAAACATAATTTGATTTGATGATATAATGGATAGTTGTTGATTTCAAAAGTGATGTGATGTGTAAAGTAATACAGACTGTAACACGTGTTACTATATCAAGCTTTATGTCATCTCTTATGTCAGTGTAGCATGATTCATTAAAGAATCATCAGAATCTTTGAGATTCTATACGTAATATATATGACCTCAATGTGAAAGTAGCCGAAATTCTGTTCAACCGAGAATGCGCTGAACGGAAAAGAATGTAAATGGAATTCGGAAATCACATTCAAATCGTAAATGACCAAAACAAACAAACACATTAATGAACCTTACCACGTCATGCGGCCGCCTTGGCATTATTTTGGTGATAAAGTAGGGATTCTTGGGCTTCACGGCGAGTCCTGCCCGGAACATCCTCGCTCCATACCAATCATGTTTTACGCGAGACCCACGGCCTTAACAAAAGTTACAACCATATATATATTCATTAAATAATTTTTCCTTTTCACGCGAAAAAATTGAAATGAAAAAGAGGAAAATACTAAATCACTATAAGAAAATAATGAAATTCCAAAAGAAAATATATTCCAGCAATGGACATTCAAATACTGTTATTTCCGTTAGAATTTTCCATATTTCCAACGACAATATCCCGTTTCGTTAGAATGAGTTTTCTATTGAAATTTCCGTTCGATTTTAACAATTTCAACGTTAGAAATATATTATGTGGAAGTAAAAAATTCAACGGAAAATCTCTAACGGTAATGAACCGTTATTGGAATTATCAAATTCCAATCAGAATCTTAATGGAAAACTCATTCCAATCGAATATTTTCATTAGAATCATTTTAAATGGAAGTTATACCATATAAATACGACAATTTTTTAATTTCTTTATTTATTTTTTGTAGTATTACATACCAACATTTGCAACCTCCGAACGACCCATCTGCTCGCTGTCCCTTTTAGCCTCGTTCCTCGGCCGCTTTCTGCTATTGTCGGCGGCAGTTCGAACATATTCTTCCTCTGTTTCGGAATCGGAAACTAAATCATAAACCACGATTCGCTCGAGCCCATGCTTCTTCTTTTTCTTCTTATTATTATTATTCTTCAACACGCGGGCCCAACGAGGGTTACGCGGTGCCTCCTTCTCGGTTGCATTTGTCCCGTGGATGCGGATTTTGAACATGCCCTGCCCTTGGTAGTCGAAAAACAACATGTCACCACTTTCAAGCGCATTGTCGAGCCGGAAATGGGCCCACCCACCGAGGAAGAGCCAATTGGGCCCGGCCCGGCCCGTTATCACCGTCCATACGTTCCCCTTTTTGTCCTTCAAATGGACTTCCTCTGGCAAGGGCTTATCGAGCCTTCTCGTGAACGATGGAGGGATTTCCTACAGCGTTCGGAAATTACACAACAAATTAGTTCGTCAGTAATTGTTAGGCAGATGTAATGGAAACAAAACCCGAACTTTCACATCATATATATATACAATGTTTTGGTTTCTTCGAAAAGGAATAAAAATTATAGGATTTGCATATTTGCATACACCATACATCGTCACGATCGATATGATTAAAAGGAAAGCAATCTATATATCACATACACTGCATTTATGATGAAATTGTAGTATTACATATGATTCATAAGTTGAAAGTCGAAAATAATAAAAACAATATCGTCGCCAATAAGTCATGTGCCCGACATGTCGTCGCAAAAGACACATTTACGGTTTATGTTTTATATGCATGCGTTACATGCGTATGTATACATGCATAACGATTAGTTACGACCATTTGTTGGGCAAAATGGGAAATCGAAGAAATGAAAAAGAAAATAAAGGAAAATATCTGAAAAGTCCTATCTGTCAGTCTGCGTGACTGTGTTAGAGACAAAACAAACACAGATGACAGAACAAATGAACCAATGCCACAAATAACTCAAGAATATACATCTAAAAGGAACCTTAAAATTAATAATTAAAAAACTTTCCAATTTACAATGAATAATTTTACTACTCTTACAAAGACATCAGTTCATTAAGATTTTGATTTATCATGTATGAATATATTTGATTTATGTTGCTGTTCAATTACTTTAGGCTAAATCTAGCTAGCAATGATAGACAATACTCAATACCACATATATTTTTAAAAAAAAAAAAAAAAAAATTGCTCAACAAATCAAAGATTCAACCTTTTTTTTATTACATATAAATGTGAGAACAAATTATATATAGATAAATGTTTGCTTACAAGAATTCAACAAGATCCAACACATTTTTTTTTATTTAAAAAAATTAAGAAGCCTTAATATAATTAATTAAGAAAGTGGGATTTAGATATTTACCAAACGGTCATCGGTCGTGTCAGCCAGAAAAACCTTGAAAAAACCTGGGATCATTGTCATCCTTTTGGATAAAACTGAATTTGCTGCTCAAGAATAAAATTGGAACAAAACAATGACAATTATATATATAAGGTTAATTGCATTGATAGAGAACTGAAAAAAGAAAAGAAAAAATGGGTTAATGAATCCTAATTAATCCACAATCTATATGCTGGATTTTTTTTTGTTTGAGCGGTGAATTCGAAATTTTATAATTGGTATATTAATTTGTCAAATTAGTGTACTAACATAATTGGTATATTAATTTGTCAAATTGGACTTTTTTATATTTTTTAATAAATTATAGTGTAAATATTGATGTGCATTAAATTAATATATCATTAAAAAAAACAATTTAGTGGAGCAAATTAATTATAATATGGCTTATGAACTTTTTTACCGTTTTGATGTTTTTGTGAAGTTTGTATGTAAATGACTGAAAACAAAAATATATGCTTGGACTGGTAAGAACGTATTTAAGTATTGTTTTCAAGTAAGTGAGTATTTAAAAATAAAAAATCTGACATTGCACTATTTTATTCTATGCAAATAGTAATAAGTTGGAAAATAATTATGCTTAGGTGCATGAACAGATTAAATAAATGTGATGGCATTTTGAATTAGATTCTAAGAATAGGTGCGAAATTATATTTTGTCTTTAAATAGGATTTAAAATATAGATAATGGAAAGCTTTAAATAGTAAAAATTGAAGAAAAAAGTATGTGTTTAAAATTAAAAGGAGAAAAGCAATTAAGGTTTTTTGCAGTTAGTAATATAAGTATATATACGAAATTTTATTTACCGTGCACTATATTTGTCTCATTCTAAAAAAGTACATAATATTTGTAGACATGAAACTTGATATATTAATTTATCAAAAATATATATAAAAAAAATGTACATTAATCATATAAGGTGGGATAAATGATGAATTATTTAAATTTACCGACCTAATATGAAATAGCCTAGGCAGTTATAGTTCCTATATATATATATATATATATATATATCTCGTCCCATTTTAAATTAGAATCCCAATTTAGATTTGTTGAATTCAACTTAGAGTTAATTTGTATTTAATTTATGTCTAATATAGGTTATTCACAATTCAAAACTTACCCAATATGTCACAGCGCTCTATATTTTCAGTGTAAATTACCTATTATACCCTTGAGTAGTCACCAAATATCGACCGGTCGGCAAATCGACCGGTCAATCCAATTCGATTCTTCAAACTATCTATTTACCAAAGAAATAGTCGGCAATTATTCGGTTCTTAAAACATTATTACCCTAATAGGTTATGAATATGTGTGTATGTATATATATATATACCGAAACTCTTGTGTTCTACGGCAGCAAGCGAGTTGAGTTGGTAAATGTGCTCCAAACATCTTTTCAATTTACGGTATTTTTTCCTGTCGTTTTTGCTAATTAATTTGAATAGATTGTATGATTCTTAATTAGTTGGTCTTGTTGACACCTTCTTGATTTAGTTGGATTTTATTTTATTTAAGTTTTATGAGTTAGATCCAACAAAATATATATTGAGGTAACTTATATTTTATTATTGTTTCTATGCTGCAGGGAACAGCTCTTTCGGTGGTTTTAATTTCATCATTTTACAAATGTAAGTTGAATAATTATATATATATTTTATTTTTTTTGGGCATTTTTTTCTGAAGTGATTGATTTATGAATCAAGTGTAGTTTTGTATATGTAGACTGTGTAGTGCCGTTGTCTTGGTGGTTTGGTTGGGAAATTGGGAATGAGTTTCGGATCATTGGAAAATGCAATGTAAACAAGATATAAAAAAATTGATTTACTTCAAAAACTATAAATTTAGAAAGAAAAATGAAGCATTCTGAAAAATTAAAGTCAAGCAATACAATTTTTTTTTTTTAAAAAAAACAAAATTATTAGAAGTGAACAACCCAAGAAAACTTGAAAGAAATCAAACAAGAAAGAATTACAGAGATTGGAAAAAAATGAATTTGAAAATAGTATATAAATTTACATTTGATTTAATAGTTTTGATGATGATTTTCAATTCTGCATTCATATTAACATTTTTTTTTTAAAAAAAATATTATCTATTAAACTTAAGTGAAAAGGCAAAAAAATAAAAAAGGGAATGGAAAATTGAGAAACAAAAGTTAACCTCGTCATTGCTAGAAATAGAATGCTTTTGTACTCTCACATAAATTAAAAGTGTTAATAAAGTAAATAGTCTTTTCATTTGTAAAAGATAAAATATAGTTTTTTTATTTTTTATTTTTTATTTTTTTATAAAATATGGTTTTTATCTATTTTGACATGAGAAAATTACCAAAATACTCCCTCCACACTTTTCCGCTCAAACCAGCTATAGATTTTCAAAAAGATTTGAAGTGCTTTCTTGAACATTTAGATAATACTTTGAATTTTATAACTAAATTTTAGAATTTCAAAAATGATTTCTAAAACACATAAACAATATCTGGAATTCTATATACATATATATATATATATATTGGAATTCTAGAAATGGTTTCTTGATGTAAGAAATTATACATTATGTTTTTATTAAAAAAAAATGGAAGGATAATTATATTATTTCACAGTACAAGTGACTATTATTCGTACCTCTAAAAAAATAACTATATTTATATTTGNTATGGAATGATTACATTTTAATTAATTAAAAAATATTAACCGATTCAGTTTTACATAAATGGTACCGTGTGTAGAGATCAGAACTGGATATGGATTCACGTCCAAAAGCTTTCTACAAGATCTTTATTACTGAAATCCACAAGGACGACTTGGTAAGAAGTATTTTCTCTCTGTCTACGTTAAAAGTTCACTCAATTTCTTATAACAAAAATACATGTTTATATCATAAAATGTCATATTTTTATTTATATTATATTTTTAGAGTATGATATTTTGGATCGAAAGTATGCATATCTGTGAAACAGTTTTACAAATATGAATTCTTTTACTATGATATCTCATATGTTAGAAAACAATATAAATAAAAGTAAGCAGAAGATTTTATGAAAAAGCAATATGCATATATACATGAACAGAAGTACAACCAATAATGGATCCGAGTTGTGTCTAATAGTTAGACCGTCTCATATAAGAACCTCTGAATTTTTTGTTACATTGTAGCAAATCCCTCCAGCATTCATGGAGAAAGTTGGTCACCCGTTACCAAACAGAGTACACATGATTGACGTACGAAACAACATATGGAGCGTGAGGACATTCAAAATCGGCGAATGTTGGTACTTAGTCAACGGTTGGTCCAAATTCGCACGCGACAATTTGCTATCGACGGGCGATCTTTTGGTTTTCGACTACTATCACAAGGGCTGGTTCAGCATAGGAATATTCGGGCCGTGGGGTAATCAAAGACTTGTACTAGGCCCAAACAAGGTTCGGATAATTAGTGCTCATGCGCACAAACAAGTCTCGGATAATGACGATGATAATGATGATGATGATGAAGATGTTGATACTTATTCTAATTCTGATTCTGATTCTGATTCTGATGATAAAAATGAAAGCGAGCAAGAAGCGCATTGTGCGCGCGAACGAGCTATAAACGGCATGTTCTTTCTAACCCCATTTTTTGTTTATTTTGTTTGTTTTTATTACTTATTTCAAATTTCATTTTCTAAAAAGATTTAAAAAAAAAAAAACTGAAAATTCAAGACTTAAAGGACCATTAATTGACTTAAGACTTGAACATATTTTGTTTGGTTATATTCTTATATTATACATACAAAATAATATGATGAATTAATGGCAAAGCTCTTGTTTTTTCAGGTGGAGCTGAAAGCAGTAAAACTATACGGGGTCGAAAAATATATGATAATGTATGCAACGGGTTGGATATATTCAGCTCCGGGCGGGCACAACGCCCCAAAAATCCCTACTTTGTCACGAAAGTAATGCCCAAGCGCAAATCGTACTTGGTAAGATTTAAGCTTTAATAATAAATATGTGTAATAATAAAAATTATAATATAAATTGCATATTCCAACGGTAATAAACAATTGAAAAAATCGTCGTTGGAATCATTAAATTCTAACTAAAATTCCAACAAAAAACTAATTCAAACGGAATATTTTTGTTGGAATAATTCCAATGGAAACTCTACCATTGGAGAATCCGTTGACATTTCTATTAGAATATATTATCAGGATTATAATTTTTTTTTTTTT